CGCTGGTTGGGGTCTGCAGGCCCAGGGGTGAGGAGGAGGCTGCAGGGCGAGGTGTCCTGCCCGCTGCCCTTGGGAGGGACGCGAGAGTGCCCCTGGAGCCGGGAGGGAGGGAGGGAGAGAAGCAGGGCCGCCCGGGAGGGCTTTTTCTGAGCTTCCTCTGAGGGGTTGCTGGGCGACCCCATCATTCATGCTCAGGGAGATTATTAACAGCTGTTAATTACTTCTCTTGCTGGAATACCTGTGTGGCAGCCCTGCGGTTCTGTACCGGGGGAGGGTGGGGAGAGGGTCGGGCTGTGTGTGGCACAGGAAGGCCGGCACCGATGCGTCAGGTCATTCTGAGCAAAGGTTTTTTTCAGTCGGATCGGGCTGGAACTTCACCGAAAATTATCTGCATGTACTACTGATCCAAACGTGAATTAGCTGGTCATAGCTTGCATTCTGCTTCCTCCGTGGAAAACCTGCTGAGGCAGAACGCAGCGCTGCTGATGCCGAAGTGCTTATTCTGAGGCTTCAAGCAGGCTCCTGTCCAGCAGCTCTTCTGGATGCATTTCCACATCCATTCTTCCCAGGACTAGGTTTTTGGATTCAGTAAAAGTGCAAGAAGCGCAGCCTGTGTTTATCACCCAGTGCAGTTGACTTCTTTCCCCACTGGGAAATGACTTGCTTTTGATCTAGTGTTCTCTCCATAAGCTGTGTGAGTCCATGATCTGTTTTCTGCTTGCTGTAGTATGACAAAGCTGCTATCAAGTTTTAGCCTCAGGCTGCCAAAATCTGAGCCTGGAACTTGCCCAGATAGGTGAGTCTGGATGGCTTCTGTGGCTTGGAAGTCTCAGTATTGCAGGCTTCTAACTGTATATGGGCTCATGTGGTGTTTGGTTGGGCAATATTGACTTCAATGCTGTCAGAGCTCTAGCTACTTTTTTTTCCTATAGTAAAAGCTGTGTGTGTCCCTGTGAGTTTTGCTTGGAGGGACAATCTCAAATCTGAAGAGATGCTGACAAACTGTCTACTTCCATATTTTTCCTGTCAGAAGGGAGGCATAACTCCTCTTCTGTAGGAAATGCCATCTTACTGACATCTAGTGACAAAGATACCTGGTGTTCTTTGGGCTGCGGAGTGGCCATGTTCCAGGGAGAGCACTGGGATGTCTGAAGGGTGTCATGGCCGGCTGCTTCCTCATCCCAAAAGAGCACAGTCCTGGCTTTTGGGAAATTGAATCTTGAGGCTGTAAAGGGTTACATCTTGAGTTCTTTGAAACACGGGAGATTGGACATGCATTCTTGCTTGCTTGCTTGATACTATCTCTTTCCTTTTTTTTTTTTTTTTTTTTGGTGGAACAGGAACAGTCACTAAACAAAACAGGCTTTATAAAGAAGCTTCCTGTAACCCTAGTTAAACTTTTCTTGCTTCATCCCTGCATCAAAAAAAGGTAAAGCTGAGACTGTCTTTTGCAGAACAATGTCTTGCACTGGTTTTCTAAGCTTATTCTACTGAAGACCATTAGAGTATTTAAAGGCTGTTCCTGGGGCCAACTGGAGGATGGCCTGTGGTGCCAAAATATAATTGGTTTGTGAGGTAGAGTCTGCTTCTTTCCTTTAGTGAGTGACCTACTGAGTCAAAAGTTACTGGCAAGTCATGTATTATTTTGATCTTGGCAGGAGGTTGGCAGCTCAGCTAAAAACTGAGGCACAGAATGTGAAATGCAGTTATGTGCTCTCCAGTAAGAGTAGTGAGAGAAAAGCTGACACATCAGGGCACCTAGACCATTAGTGGTCTTCAGAATACAAGCTCTTACTCAAACTCCACTCTGTGCCTCTAACCTCTTCTGTTAGAAGACACATAGGAAGCAAATCACTTTTTCAGGTTTCTAGCTCAAGAGTAAAAAGCAAGTAGTTCAAACTGACTTTAGAAATGCTTTGGTAGAACAGGTAGAAATAGAAAAAGGCATGGGGGCTGTTCACATCAGGTTGGGCTCAAAATGTGGCAGAGAGGTATATTAAATGCTGTACCTGTGATGTTTTACTGGAGTAAGGGAGCTTCTTGTGTTTCCCTGTGTCAGTATTTATCTCTTATTACTCTTCAGACTGGCTGTGTGCAGTATGGCATGAAGAAGTGGTCTGTAGGAGGAGAGCCTGGTAAGAGAACGTGCTTCTCTTCCTGCCCACTGGTTATGGGGATTTATGGGATTGTGTTTAAAATAGGAACAGTTTCTCTGAAACTGATGGGTTTATCTCAGGAGCTCTTTAGCTCAGGGTATGCCCCTTAAGTAAATTATGCAGCCTGTCTCCCCCAGGATGAGGTGATAGCAGCTACTCTTGTTTAAAACAAGTGCAGCCCATGACCTCCTGGAAGGTGGCTAAGGCAGCCCTCTAATCAAAGCTTAGATGCTCAGATTAGCTGGTAGGGTGATGGCATTGTTTTGAGCCTTAATCTTTTGTGTTGATAATGGCTAGTACTAGCTGAAAGGATGGTTGTTTTTCCAACAACTTCACTTTGCCAGAGCAGCTTGACTAATCCACCTTCTGCTTGAACTACTGTCACTTGTCCAAGATCATACTGATTTCTGGAATGCAGAAATGGCTGCATTTGGTGATTTGCCTTCAGTACCTCTCCTGCTTTCTTCCTGGATGAGAACTCAGCAGCTAATGTACCTTGAACTGCTTAGTTAGATAAGCTCATTAATGCACAGAAGTCTTACTTACTGTTAAGTCAGAACCCAAACTGTCTTTTAATAGACTACTGAAGGGGTTGGTTGCTTTACACCAGCCTATTAACTGACTTGTGATTGCTGTTTCCTGGATGTGCTCTGTAGATTACAGAAATCAGCATTGCTGTTTGCATTCAAACTTAAGTGATGTCTATGCTGTAGGAAACTTCTGGCCCCATAATGGGAGTGACAAAGTCCGAGTAGCTGGGTCTTGGGCTGACTACTGATCAACTTGTGTTTATTTGTACCCTATCCTGGATGGTACAGGAAACTCAGTGAAGCTCATGGCCTGTCTCACAGTAGGGCTGTGGCCAAAAGGGCTCTGCAGGTGAGTGGTAGTCCTGGTATCTGCTCATCCAGCCTCAGTCAATGGCTGGTTGAAGCCACCTGTGGTGCCACACTTTTCAGGACAGGTATCTCTGTGGTAAGAATATCACCCATTCAGTTGGCTTGGGAAAATACAGCTGATCCCAAAGCTGCCCCCTAAAATGAGTGGACAGATGTGCTCACTGGTGATGCTGCTGGTACTCATCAAATCCTGGCACAGTTGGGGTGATAATGTGAAACTGTAGTTATGTTGTTATGGGCAGCCTAAGAACTGCTGCAGTCACATTGCTCCTGAGCAGTTATTCTTGACCTGCTGTGTCACCACTGCACCTCTGAAGAGAGGATACAGAGGATTTGCTGAGCAGATGCCATGAGAGCAAACAGGCCTGGCTCAAGAGTTCAACTTCTTTCTATAGGCTTAGAGAAGCTGTCATGGAAGGATACAAAGAAATGTGTTTGTGCTTTCCTAAGGCAAAAATTCCAGTATACACCCAAAATTTATGGTGAATCTGGTGTCATTAGGCTTTAGGCACATTACATTGCTAGTGACACATTTCTTCCAGAGAGTTCCTGATCCTTCAGGAGCTAGAACCATTACTTCTTGCCTTGCATGTGAAACTGGAGTTAGTGCAGCCATGTTCCTTTTACCACTGAAGAAAACTGACTAAAAGTTAACTGTTTTTCCTAAGCAAATTTGAGCAGATCAGCTTGTTTGTTTTCACTTGTGCAAATACAGTTACAAAAGGCACAGAACTGTGTTCCAAAGTTTATGGTGTAGGTTGAAGTCACTGTCTCTCTTGGTGCAGGGAAGAGTTAATAATTTGTGTGGTTTCATATGAAGGACCTCAGATTATGGTACAAAGGTATTGGAGAAAATAACTCATTTGAATATCTGTGTATCTGGGATTTAGGCTACAATTCAGCTTAGACTTTCATATCCTAATGACTGATACTGCAGTTGTGTCTTACTGCTGGTGTGATGCTGTGGCTTCTCAATTAGAGAGACCATGGAAGGTTGCACTGAACAGAAACTGCAGCATTGGTACTGTGTGCTGTGGTGGTTCTGAAAGAGTTGCTGCAGATAAACAGCTGCAGAAGGAACAAACTGTGCTGGTTAGTTGATTCCTAACGTGTGCCTTGTTTAGTCTAAGAAAGCTCCGTGCTGCGTGTTGTTCATTTTTCTATAGCTATTATAAGTCAGAATTGATGAAGAGGAAATGGAAGAGGAAGTCTGGGCTCTCTCCTGCTGCAGGAGGGACATGCTGGATCTCCACTTGATAAGCGCAGGTTTAGTGCCTCATCTCACTAGGTAGCTCCCAGTCCAGCTACTTGTTGCATCCCATCATGTGTGAAACTGACAGTCCAGCAACAGGATCCTGCTGCCTGAGCTTGTGCTCCTGACTTCACCCATCCATTCCAAGTAGGAGTCACTGAAAGGATGAAATCTGACTTTTGGAGTCACCACCTGTTTTTACATCAGACCTACTAAACAGAGCATTTTCCATCTAATCAGCAGGCAAAAGCAGTTTTTCAGATATTCTGCTTTATTGTATCTTTATCTTTCTCTGGAGTCGCTTGGTTATGGTCTGCAGCTCACCTGCTGCAGACTGACTTCTGGGACTTCATCCAGCATGTCCTGGTGGTTTGACAGAGGGATGTTTATTGCATGTACCCTTTGCAGAGTGGGAGCAGAGACATGATTTGAGGCAAGTATGTGTGATTCGTAGGAAAGTGCATCTTACTGTGTCAGTCATTGTAGGCCCCGCTAATCCTCCTGCTTTTCTGTTATGTAACTACTGAAATGCATTAAAATCTTTATCCCAGCCTTGTTTTTACACATATACTTTTTTTTTTTGTAGCTGGCTGTCTTAATAATGTAACTTTGCCACAATTTCTCTAAAGGTATATATTAATGCTCTTATCTTCACTTGGACAAAAAGGCATTCTGAAAAGTCATTTCCATGTCATTTTAACTCCTGGTGGTTTATAAGCATGTATACAAGTGTGTGGTCTGTCTATGATGTTCTTCATGCTCTTTTTCTGTTTATAGGTTGAAATGGAAGTATATGGGGATGTGAGCACTTGACAGGAGGGTAGGAAGCCTACTGACCTTTGGTATTTGTAGGAGCTGCATTAACATGTTACATCTACCGCAGTAGCTGCTTGAAGAACGCAAAGTGTGTTGGGAGAGGGCTGTTGTTCCTAAATTGAGGTGGTTACTCACCAACTGGTGTGAATTCAGCATACATGTGGATTATCCCTGTACCTTAACTAGAATAAATCCATCCATACTGTAAGTAGAAAACAGGGCTGTAAGCTACCGCTGTGGAGCAGGTTGCCATATGTTCGAGCCAGTGAAACAGAAGGAGTGGAGCTGCAAAGCTCTGAAAATGCAGTTGATGGATCATTAACCCAAAGGTTTCAGTAGAGTCATCCCGGTTTCCAGGCACTTGGTGGTAAACAGTTGAAGAAATGGTGGGCTTTGCTCTTAAGCTGTGTCTGACAGTGAGATATTAGGCTGAGGAAACTCAGAAACAGTGTAGAGCAAGCTCCCTAGAAAAGGCTGACTGGAGAGCAGCAGAATGAGTCATTGAAAGCTGATTGAGCAATGCTTTCTGAGTCATGTCGCTAATGCACAGGGAGCAGATGAACCCATCTCCTGTGCTGGAGTTTTTATTCTGAGGCCTTCTGATTCCAGCAGCCATGAGTCACTGAATATCAGTCTCAAATTAATTTCAGCCCTCTTCTCTGCAGTTCTTAACCACTGCAAGTACTAGGATCTTTCACTTCCATGCTTGATCTGTAAAGAAAACTATTAATTATTTTAAAAATTTGTGGAAGATTGTGCTGTGTCTGAGCTGTATCACTAAAATCCTCATTCTGGTTAGAATGTAACCTTGAAATAGTTGAAAGGAGTATCTGTGAAACTTGAAACACAGAGGAGGATCAAAACAATGCAGGCTTGTTTCCAATGCAGCCATTTCAAGGAGAGCAATTGTCATCTTGAAGAGCCATTCTTCTTGCTGAGCTTTAAGCAACTTTCTTTTGCATTCTGTCCTTTGTATAGCTTTCTTCTCTGTTCATAGATCTCTGGGCTACTTACTCCACCTCTTGAGTTTCCAGCTGTGTGGACATGCTTCCATTAGCTGATGGAAGTAATTCTGTCATGGAGAAGAAGGAGTGTAGTCACTCTGATCTTGTGTCTTTGAGGGATGTAATGCAAGGTTTGAACAAAAGACTGGAATGTTGTCCATGTTCCCTGAACCCCCATCATGGGCAAGCTTGGTGAAGGCTGACAGAGAGCAGCCCTGCACCAAACTGGACTTGCTGTAAGTTGTGTTGATGCCACTGTGCTGTCTATGCTTGTGATGCCTGGAACTCTTCAGGATGCTGAACTGCAGAAGTTGAACAGACAAGGGAGATTTGCTTATAATTGTGTTAAAACATCTTGCATAGTTGAGACCTCCTTGTTCTCTGATGTCCTTAGATGGGAGTGCAGCCAGAGTTTGATACTGCATGTGTCCCTCAGCTACTGCAAAGAACTGACTGATGGCTGGTACAGTTGGGTAGGTCATCTAAAACCCTTCCCTTAGTCACCGGGTTTAGCCCATGTGACTTTGCTGGTACCTGGGAACACTTCACCAATTGTCTAACACAAATCATTAGGTAAATTGTACTTAAATGTGAATTCAGGTTTAATTTTTAAAGCTGTAGAATTGTGGGTTCTTTCAAACTTGAGGAGAATCATAACTCATATGGAGGCGTTCTGCTGCTACATGTGAAATGATGCTTGTACATGTCTCAGGTATGTATGGTTGGTTGCCCTTATAAAATAAACTATCAGAATGGTCCTGACCCTGTGGCCAAATTCGTATTAGTAGGGAAAAGTACAAGCTCAGGTGTTAACCAGGGCCTCATGTAGCACAGAGCCAGCCCCTTTCTGACTTTGAGCAATTTCGTTATTGAGTTGTTTCACCAGTGTAGTACAGCAAGCCCACATCAGCTGGCTGGTGGCAGATCTCTGCATACTTCTGTTTTGTACCATACAAGAATTTACAGTAAGAGCACTCCTGGTCAGTAGTTGTGGCAGTGGGATGT